GGAGGAGGGGTTAACTCCACAAGTAGTAGAAGCGCTGACAATGGTGTCAAATACCAACTCAGGAGGTGAGCAGTTAAAAACCCTTTCACTGTAAATGGGACTCCACGGAATGCAATGAGGTGCAACCCCTTTCAACATACACAAAGGTTAGCCATAATATCTACTTTTAGTTGATGCTGAAAGGTTCTGGTGAGGCTGAGTAAACGTTGCGAACCCCGTCTTAGGGTATACGTGAACAGCCAGATGTTGAGGTGATGACCGTCGATGATACCTTAGAGATATTAAATACTTGATTAGTGTGCTGATCGGACCTAGTTCAGGTTCACCTGCAATGGATGTTACCTGTGTTTGTCGGGTGTAATGCTCGGTACAGGCTAATATGAAGATAAATTCATTGAAGAGAGGTTGTGATGCGGACCCGTCAGGTGTAGATTTATAGCGTTGATGTACCTCGTTCTGCTGGGAAATGAGGCACAACTTTGTCCACTCATGCAAATCCTTTCATTTTGGCCAAGTAAGTTAATTAGAAGCTAGGTTTGAGGCGATACGAATGATTGGATAGAAAAAAGCGGAAATGCTCAAAAGAGTTGAAAAGAAAGGACTTTAGGAAAAAATGTCTCAGTCTGCTTGGCGGTGGTAGTAGCATTTTGGAAAAGGAGAAACTGGTACATTTGAGGTAGGAGCACTAATACAATTTGGGCTAGAGAAATGACTTACAAGTCAAGTCTTGTGCTCTAAGCAGTATGTCATCTTGCAGAAAAAAAGCCTTTGACGACATTTTGGCTCCCTTCAGCAACCTGTGGTGGTAATATATTGTGAAAGGAAATCCAAATGTCTGGTATTCCTTAATGAATAGCGGCCAGGTGTAGCGTGAAACTCATGATGGTGGTTTATGATAGGTACCCAGAGCAGAAATTTGGTCTTTAATGAATTCTTAAGATCTTTAAAGGAGGATAGGCTCCCAACAGTTTTCTTGTAAACAACCAAAGTTCACAACTTGTATTTTGCTGCAGCAGCTCACGTGGAGCTTCTCCTGAGGCATCTGTCATGAGGAGCAGTTTGACTGAAGGATCAGTGCGGAGCTGCTTCATCAAAGTCCGCTCGTTTAAGGTGATTTCTAAAAAGTAAAAGGCATTACCTGTTTCACGATCGAATTTTAGTTGTAGGGTGCTATTAAGCTAAGGATGTGGGATTGGCCGAAAGAGTTCGATGCAGTCATAAATAAGTCCAAGATAGAAATTAGTGAGGCCAAGAAACCGGCGAGAAGGTGATCGAGGATGAGACTTGGAAGCCAACTTTTTCCCAAAATCTCCAACATATACCTTTAAACTGCCACTTAGTGGCTTTGATTATCATTCCGTTTTGTTGGAAATGTCCAAAAATTATGAATAAATATTTCATAGGTTCTGACAATCTTATTCTACTTACCAAAATACCTTCATCGCCGACAAAAGCGAATTGAATTCTCCTGATTGCTTGATTGGTTAATATTGGAAATGTGTCCATAGTGACATGCGTACACTTACAAGTAGGCCAAAGGGGCTGCGATAGTCGTTGCGGAAAAATTATACTCGAGCACAGGAAATCAATTGTTGGTTGGGGTCAAGCCAATCTCCTGAGAAGGCTAAGTTTTCACTCAGAAAGGTTAAACACTGTGTGGTTGCCCTTGCAAAATCTGCAATCACGTGAATGCTTGCAGCCACCACACGAAGAGGCGAAGACCAAAGGCTGCCGAAGGGTCATACGGTCCCTAAGGTCAATAAGGGCTGAATGCAACTGATCGGCTACTTCAACTTTCTCTAAAAGCAGGTGTCTTGATGAGGATTTTCGCTATATTTAATAACATTGCGTAATAAGTAAACGTCACTTATCTTATATGGTGTTTGGAACAGTTAAACTTAAAATGAGATTCTAAATAATGAAACTGCTACAAATTCGTAAAAATCGGGAGAATCCTTTTAACATCCTTAAATGTTTGAACAAATACGTTCGCGGAATTGTTCATTCTAAAATAATTCATCAAATGGGATATTAGGCATGCAATTCGTTCCTTTTTTTCCTATTTATGCATTTTAATGCATTAGTTGAGGGAATTTGAGTGCTAGTTATTTTTAGCCTATTACAAAGATATAAAAAGAAGCTTCGTTTAAATGTATAGCTTATGAAATAGTATAGCGCGTCAAGACTTCCCTAAAAACAAAGGAAGCTGCAATACTCGGGTAGAAGGGCTTGGGGAGCTGTTGACATGGCCAAGAGGCCAGGCCGGCCGGAGAGGGTTGAACGGCGGAGCCCCTAAGTGGTCCATTATCACGATTGAGAGGCAAACAAATAGGTAAATCATTGCAATAGCACAACAATATTTTCCATGAATGACACATTATTTTTTCCTCCTTTGGTTATTTTAGACACCGGAAATTGTTCAGAACAACATCAAAGTGTAAATTCTTTATAGACTTTTACAACAGAAGTGCAAATAACTGGAAAATCCCTAAGATGCGTGACGGTTCTACGCAGTCAGGCAAGTTTCGGAGTCAGAACTGTGTGAAGGAAAGAGCTACCTCAATACCACTGATCAAAGAACTATTTCCGTTAATCAAAACACTCATGCTTTTCCCAGCCTCACTTATTTATTATTCCTTTGTGCATAATGCTAAGAGTAAGATACGCATTTGCTGCTTTGTCTGCTCGTAATACAGCCGAAAACACTTTTTTTTAATAAACGGAGATAGGATTGAGACCAACCTCAAGCCCCGAGTAGGCCAAATAAGGCAGTCACTGTAAACATATCCGCCCTTCCTACTTCTGATTGATTACTAGCAAAACACTCACGGCATAAAAGTATTTTCTTCCCTTTTAAAGTCGGTCGAAAGACTCAGAATTCGCATTGTTGAGTGGTTATTGCTTTCTCCCCTAGGATTAGGTGTTTGATTCGTCAGTTAGTAAGGCGAAAATCGCAGTTGTGACCGATGACTGCGCAATAATAAAATTCGCAGCGATCATAGATGCACAATACAACAACTCGATGTGATGTGTTGCACACGCTAAAAGGGAGGGTGTAACTATGCTCCCTGTGTTTTATGCTCCGATAGCATCTCGGATATTGACACTTAGGGGAAAATTTTTCGCATGTTATGTTTAACAAAATTTCACCCCATTCACTTACCCTACAGGACGTGCTGGTTAAGCGAAGTATTTATGAAGTTCTAACAAGCATTCAAAATCAGCAGCTTTATTGCTTAAGTGTAATTTTCTGTTTAGAATATCACAAGGATGGAATGCAAGATTTGCGGGTTTGGAGTATTTTCACCTTTATCTGTCTGTTTTTACAGTGACAGTAGAGAGGAGGAAGTAGAACTCGACCATAATCAGCACAACTTATTCTGATTCCTTTGGTAGGACATTAAAAACTATCAAAATTTGCTCCATTTTTTGAGTTTAAATGACCTGACTAAAAAGGGAATGGAAAATTGTAAATGCAGTAAGATGCAAGAGCTGACCTAGTGCCTCCAATCCAACCCCTGCACAGTCCACTTTTTGCCGACACCTATACAGGGCAAGTGAGCAGACAACAAGCGCTTCTTTGACACCTCTGCCTCAATAAATGTGAACATTAACATTTTATTTTTCACACTTTCAGATGGCTTGCGTTGATGAATCACTGCATCGTGGTGGCAGTGGCATTGAGGCGTCTCGTGCATGCGACTTTTAAGCATGTTTTTTAAGGAAAAGGAAAAGCTATAACTTAGAGTAAATGTTTCATATCATTTAAGGGCTGCACCAACAATGCGGCATTAAACAAAGACGCCCGACCTGGGGTACATTTACTTAAGAACTAATTAAACAGGCTTTCAATCAAACCACCGGTCACTAGGGTAACAAGGACTCAAAAATATTTTGACACCTGGATGTTAAAGGGAAATAAGCGGCAAATTGCTGGCATAAAGCAATATATGGTGTACGCGGTTGTGAAGTCTTTGGGGTCAGTGAGTGTTAGCTGCCATTAGCTTAGCGCCTACACTGCCCATTTGTACTTGTTAAGATGGCAGAGAAGAATACGAGGACAAGTGGTTTGAAGTTAACCTCTATCATCGTCTCGGAAAGAGTGGGCATTTAAAAGCACTTAAATTTACATATATTCCTTTTTAAATTATGGATAAATAAATTGGACGATTTTGCTTTGAGGGAATCCTGAGGAAACTATTACATAAGCGGCGATTGCGATAGCAAATTGCACTAATTTGTTTGTTTGTTTAGCTCTCAGTTTTGGAAACGGGCCGCTCAAAGTCCCCACCATTGGGGCCTCTCCAGACGGCCTGAACTATGGGCCATGCCGGTAGACTCCAAGCTCTTTTGTGCGTCTAAAATACACGTTCAGCCCTAGCAGTCTACCTTCTATCGTTCTCAAGGAGGTCTTGGGGCATGGTAGCTGGTTTAAAATAAAGTAGTTTTAAATGACAGTAATAGGTCAAAGTTTCCTTGCTCTACCAACTTATTTGCATTAGTCGAGCACAGATGGATGAATCTGTGAAG